GGCATGTGTTTGGGAGGGAGATTAAATGGCAAGGCATGAAGCCAGAGGGATTCAGGGGGCCTGGTTTTCTCTTTTTATAATAATCTTTTGTCTTAGGACACCTCAATAACTACATTAATCCCTTCCAAGGGCAGTGCACCCAGCTACCTAATTACCTTCCACTAGGCCCCATTTCTTAAAGATGCCACCATCTTAACTGTACCACACCAGCGATCAAGCTTTCAGCATATGCAACTTCAGGGGACACATTCATACCATATCCAAACCATAGTAGGGTAATCCTAAAAGTCAGGAAAAATCAGGTCTTAAATACATGATTTTGACAACAGTGTGGAATGGCAAACAGGCAGGGGTATACACATAGGCCTTGGAGCCAGAAAGAGCGGAGTTTCAATCCTAATCTTGCAATTTACAAACCTTATCTCTGGTCTCAATTTCCTCATTTGTAAATTGTGTGTGTGTGTGTGTGTGTGTAGTACTGGGGTTTGAACTCAGGGCCTATACCTTAAGCTACTCCACCAGCCCTTTTTTGTGATGGGTTTTTCAAGATAGGGTCTCTCAAACTATTTGCCCTGGCTGGCTTCTAACCGTGATCCTCCTAATCTCTGCCTCCTGAGTAGCTAGGATTACAGGCATGAGCTACCAGTGCCTGGCTTTTGGGGGAGGCGTGGGGGGAGACGTAGGGTCTTGTTATGTAACTCAGCTGGCCTCTACCTCTCAAGTGCTGGGATTATAGATGTATTCCACCACACCCAACTTTTTGTTTTGTTTTTTTCATTTGAACGTTTGTATAATGTATGGTACGAACATACTATGTATACTTGCTTGATTATTTTCTTATCTTAATAAAAATCTTGCTCAGAACAAGGACATTCCTAATTCCTTAAGATGTTGTCTTGGCCATTCAGCAATCTGAGTTTAAATAAAGAAATAATGGGAAAATCAATATTTTAATGCAAAGATCGTGTTTCATTTTGAGTGACCATCTCCCACAGTTTTTAGGCCATGTTCCTGAAAGAACAGATCTGGAATAATGGTCATGAAACCTCAAATAAAAGATCATTTTCTGTACCTAAATATTTGTAACAAGAGTGATTTATTCTTCTTCACCCTGGGTATAAGACTCACATTTCTTTTCTTTCTCCAAAGCAAATTTTATATGCTTTAAGCCCTCATCCCACAGTGCTGGCAGGATATTCAATATCAATAATTATCATGACTGGTGGCCTAACCTATCATCATGTGAGCGCCTGCTGCTCTTAGTCCCATAATACTCCTTTGGCTTTTAGTCCGCTCTGCTACCACAAATATACTCCCTTTCCAAGTTGACGTCTCCCAGAAGGTCAGCAGTTCTGCTCTCAGCTGGGGCTCAAAGGTCCTTACTGTGGGTAGGCCTTCCTAACCCCAGGCTCTGCCTCCCTGGGGTACCAATAGCCACCCATACCACCCGGCTAGAGGCCCTTCTGTTTCTCCGGGGAAGGGAGAGGCCCAAGTTCTTTTCGTGAAAGAATTCTGCAAAGCCCAGTTCTGTTTCAACCCTGGGGGAGGCTTGCTTCCAAAAATCTTCTTCCTCCCTAGACACTTGGCCCTCCATTCTCTCTCACTCTGGAACGATTTCCCTCCAAGGTCAATAGTGAGAATGGTTGCTTTTGTGAGCCTGAGAATGGCTGCTTTCTTCCCTACCATACAGTAGCCCTGAGAGGTGAGTGATGATCATAAAGCACCAAGTCCCCTTAGGGACTGGGGAAAAGGGGTAAGAGGGAAAATAACTAGTTATGCAAATCACTATTCATCATATTAGCAGAATAGGACTGGGAGTGTTGGCTAACATGTGTGAGGCTCTGTGTGAGCCTCGTGTGTGAGATCTATCACCACACACTCACACACACACACACAAGCAAAAAATATTAATACCTGAACCTACTCTTACTCTCTCTGTCAGGTAAGTCATATATCTAAGGGTACATATCTAAGCTTTGGTATCTTTTAAAAGTTCCTCCAGGATATTCTGATGTGTAGCCACAATTAAGAACTGATGGGGCCTCCTAGTGCTGTGTTCTTATACTGACTTTATAAAGAGGAGGGAAAGTAAACCTACTCTATATACACTTCAATCTAGGCCCTGTGCCTGGTCTGTATTGTGAATGGGAAGACATGGGATGGGAGAAAAACAAACAAAAAACTGATGGTACAGAATAAATACGGAAGGCAACACAGAAAATAGCCGTTACGTTTGTCTCTAGAAAGGTATCATTGGGCAAGAAAAGATAGGGTGTAAGGGAATAAGAGAGATTTATTTTTCACTGTAAACATTTTAATCTTTTGGTTTTGTTTGTTTTGTGCTTGGGATTGAACCCAGGGCTTCGTGCATGCTATACCCCTCCCCCCTTGATCTTTTGAATTTATTTACCGTCTTTGTGTTATGTATTTCTGAAATCAATGAAACTGAATTTTTTCAAAAAGTAAAACATCTATAACAGTGACAATGAATCCAGAATAGTGCATTAAATAATGGGAATAGAGCCTTAGGGGAAGTGGCCTGACCCATTTGGAAAAACAGGTGGTCTGGAAGTGCTGAAATGATGAATCCTCATTTGGTTCCTGATCTGAAATGATGTCTTTGCTGGTCCACAAAGCCAGCTAAGAAGTACTAATGCAATAGTACTTCCAGATAGTACATCATTAGTTAATCTCCGAAAAAGCTATTTGGGACAGAGTAATGGTGTAATATAGCCCTCAGGCTGCTGCCTATCCCTTATGAGCCCTGAGACCAACAAGAAGCCAAATGCTCAGGGTGAGCAGGAGGGAAAGAGACCTAGCTGCTGACTGACTAGCTATTATTGAGGAAAAGCAGATTATTAGTCAGCTCTCCATAAGCAGGAAGTTGGTTATCTGTTCCCCCCCTTATGTTGTTGCAGAGCTGGTAGAGAATCAATGAAGGTGAGATAGGTGTGGCTGACCAAAGTCCCTCTCCATAGGGCCCCTGGGGATGTTGGGGGTGGGGGCACAGAACATGAAACAGTAGTTGGGATGCTGAACTGGGAGGGAGAGGCACCAATGGCTGACCTAAAGCTCCTTTTCTAGCACCCTCCTCTGGCGCTAGGACATAGCCGAGTGTGGCAGCTCCCAGTTAGAAATCCTACTTCATCCCACCTCCACAGCCACTGCTTGTCAGCTGCATGACCTTGGTGAATAGCAATATCCCAAGCCTCAATTTCTTTATCTGTAATGCAGATTAATACGTATGCAATAAAAGGAAGAAAATTGTATCCATTATTAAATTTGACCGGGCTTTATTGGCATTGGTTATTTGCAGGGATGAGAGTAGATTCTTATATTTGAATAATACCTTGAATGTGGTGATTAGGAAAGTGGGCTTTGCAGTCAGAGGTAACTGGTTAAAATCACTGTATTTATTGACTGTGGGACCTTGGGCAACTCAGCTAACATCTCGGAGTCGAATTTCCTTTCCTATGAAAGGTGAATCGTAATATAGCACCTCCTGTAAAACTGGGAGGATTAAATAAAATAATGACTGTGATAGGCTCTGTGCAGGAACATGATAAGCACCCAGAAATTGGCAACTGTTGCTATTCTGCTTGTTGGGCAATCCATAGGGAGTTACAAAGTACTTGCTTGATGTTCTCCAGGATTCTGGGATCCAAGGCAAGAATAAAAGGCCAGGTGCCTGTGGCTCGCATCTGTAATCCTAGCTACTTGCAAGATTGAGAATGGGAGGACTGTGGTTCAAGGCCAGCCCAGGAAAATAGTCTCCAAAATAACCAAAGCAAAATTGACAGGAGGTGTGGCTCAAGTGGTAGAGCACCTACTTTGCAAGTGCAAAGTCCTGAGTTCAAACCCCAGTCCCACACACACACAAAAAAGTGAGAATATTAATGCCTTTTGGAAATGATTTGTCCCTAATCTTAAAGGAGGGGCAGCATCAAGAGCAGAACCCAAGTGTTCTGACTCCTGATATGGCTTATGACTATGAATCTGATGGGTGGCAGAATCTTCAGGATCAATAATCTCAGTATCTGTGAAGAAGTTCACTGGAAAGGGAAGGAAAGGACATTATTCATGTGTCCTTCACAGGGCTTCTTCTCCCAGAATCTGGGGGAGGAAACGAAATCTGCAAACAAGGTGAAGAATGAACAACCGAATGCATTCTCCACCCACATCAGATAGGGCCACTTTGGGAAAGATAATTAGAACAAGACATCATGATAGGATGGAACTGGCTGGCTACTTTACATAGGGTTGGCCTTGCTGAGGAGAGGACAGGAATTGAGATCCGAGAGAGGTGAAGAAACCAGGTAGCAGCAACCGGGGTTCAGGTCCCAAGAGAGAGTAAGCTTGGCAGGCACAGGGCAGTATGGGTGGAGAGCACTTGAGGGAGGGACAGAGGGCACAGGGAAGGTTTGATTTTATCTGTAAAGGTTATGGGAAGCCAGGAGGGTTTTGTATTTTTACATTGCTGTTTTCATATTTAAAAGAACGTTCTGGTTATTGGGATCTTTGGTGGAGAGTGAGTTCTGGGCTGAGAGCTTTGACATTCTTAACCGGTCTTTACCCACTCAGGGCTTCAGTTTGCCCTTCTACAAAGGCGGGTGAGGGCAAAGGGGACCCAAGAAGTCAGGAATGAAGACCGAGCGGGTCACAATTACAGAGCACTCTACCGCTCTAGAGCGCTTCCACATCTCTCTGATACTTCAGCCTCCCTCCACCCTCCTAGCTGGGACCAAGGGCGGGTAAAGGCTCACTTAACAAACGATTCATCCATCGCCTTGGGCCGCGTGGCCCCTATGCCCAGGACAGCCATCGTGAGGAGGAGAATGGTCAGGGGGCGGCACCCTCGCTCTTCCGAGCAGATTCATTGGCTGTCAGCCGTGCCGCTCTTCGCAGCACCACGTGACTGCCGAGCTGCCGGCGTTCGCACGGGCTGTTCCTTCCGCACCTTTCGGTGGGCGCGTCCGCCCCGCGCCCCCTTGGACCCGCCAAGCCGGGTTCCACCTCCTCCGGGGGCTGGGCAATGGGCGGGGAAGGGGACACGCCGATTAAAGGGAGGCCAGCGCGGGGCCGGGCTGCTTGTGCCGGCGCCGCGTTGTCCCCAGCCTGGCCACGGTGGAGGACGCGCCGAGGGCCATGGTCCAGCGGCCCAGACCCCAGAGGTGAGGGGAAGGGACTCAGGGGAGGGGGCGGCGCTGGCTGCCTCGCTGTCACCAGGCCCCTGGTTAGGGTCATCCTGGTGGCATCGCAGGAGTAGTGGGAGGAGGCATTGATCAACGGTCGCCCGGGGCATCGTGGCTGGGAGGTGGGCGTATGTCTGGGTTATTCCTCAAGTCGGCACCGGAGGGAGCTGGGCAAGTGCCCCCTCCGCCCATAGCCCACACGTCTTGCAGATAGCGAGCTGCTGTTCCTGCCCAGTTCTCGCTGAGCGTCTGGAACGCAGGTATCCGGGAGCTGGTCTGATAAGGTAGGAGCCACCAATACCTTGGACAGATAGGGAAACAGGCCTGGGGAGGAGAGAGCCCTTGGTTATCTTGTTTATTAAAATCACACGCCTGGTAAGAACCAAATCAATACTGGTACTTCTTTCTGACTCACACTAAAGTTGGAATTGTTTTAGCGAGGAGACATGGAGAAGACACAGGGCCTTGTCTAAAATTATACAGCAAGTGATTTGCAGAGCACTTGTACCCAGCTCTCTCAAACTCCTAGAATATCAGGCTGGGACCTTTCCTTGACCAGATTGGGGACCTCAAGCGAGTTAGAAGTGTTCAGAACTTGGAGCTCCTTTCTGACATCTATTCTAATACTTTTTTCCTTCCTTGCTTCCATGGCTCTCTCTCTCTCTCTCTCTCTCTTTGGTGGGGGTTTACTGGAGATTGAACCCAATGCCTCTACAAGTGCTCAGTCACTGAGCTACACCCCAGCTCCTGACACCTTCCCCTTCCCCCCCACCCCCACCTTTGGGGCAGTACTGGGGTTTTGGCTCTAACACTTGAGCCGTGCCCCAGCCCTTTTGTCTTTATTTTTCAGGTAGACTGCAGATTTTGCCCAGGTCAATCGTGGACAGTGATCCTCTTACTTCTGCCTCACACTTAGTTGGGATTACAGATAGGCCTGTGTCACCATGCCAGGCTCTCGTGGTTCTTTTTTTTTCCTCCCTACTGAGGTTGGAACTCAGGGCTTTGTATTTGCAAGGCAGGAACTCTACTGCTTGAGCCACACCTCCAGCCTGCTCTCATGGTTCTTTATATGAAATCTAAAATTTGTGTGAAATAAAGTATTGGATTAAGCAGAAATTCTTATTTTTGAAAATTGGATCAATAAGAAAGAGAGGATCAAAACTGCTGGAAAGAAATTAGTCTGATTCTTTTTTCTTTAGGACTTCAGGATTACAAGAGACTGAGACTAATAACTATCATTTATTGAGTAAATGTTATATGCTAGATACTTTACTTGTGTTAGCCTTACAACAACCTTCAAGTTATTGGTAATGTTACCCCCATTTTGCAGGTCTGAAATTGATGGTGAGTATAAATTTTTACCCAGTGCTATGCAGCCACTGAACAGGGTAGATGAGTCTGAATAGAAATCTGATGTATCTGACCTCTAAGTGATTCTCCACGTGTGGCCCTAAGCTCACTAGTTCAGCAATACTGAGTGTACAGATTTGGATCTCATCCTTGGGCTTGTGGGGGCAGGCCTAAGAATCTGCATTTTAATAGCTTTCATTATTTTAAAATCATCGAGCAGTATTGTAATGTGCTGCCTCCTAGGGCAAAGTCTAGATGAACATATTCGAGGCTTTGAGATTTCCAAATTGTATTTATTAGAGATAAGTTTTGAAAATAGATGTTACACTTTTAGTGAGCCTGAACTCAAGGCAGATGCCTGTGAAACTGTAATTTCTTGACACAAGCTTGGTTATGGTGTGTGGAGGCAGTTGGGGAGAGAGTTTGTGAGTCAGATGAGAATGGGGAAAGTGACTCTTTTTATTTTCCTGCAAAGCTGTTAAATGATCATCTATTCACTGAGCAAATATTTGTGAAGCACTTAATGTCAGCCAGAGAGGCAGTCAAGATACAGCTTCACAAAACAACTTGTCACTGTCCTCATGAGAAAGAAAGTTGAGAAAGTGAATGTATATAGTATGGGATGGCATAAGGGCCATAGAGAAAAATTAAAGACAAAGGGGATAAGAGTGAAAATATGGAGATGGCAGTGATGCTATTTTATATATTGTGTCTAGGAACTGACTGGTGTGGTGTCACTTAAGGAAACTAAAAGGGAGCAAGGTATGAATATAGCTGTAGAAGGGCATTCAATGAGCGATTTCACTTACTAAAATTACTTAAAACTCAGAAAGAAAGCTGGGCAATCCCAGTTACTCAAGAGGTGGTGATCAGGAAGATTGAGGTTAAAGGCCAGTCCAGGCAAAAAATTAGCAGGATCCAGACTAGGGGCATGACTCAAGTGATAGAGCACCTGCTTAGCAAGTGTGAGGCCCTGTGTTCAAACTCTTAGTACCACAAAAACAGTTAGTGAGACCCCATCCCAGTGTGGTGGTACGTGTCTGTAATCTCAGCTATATAGGAGGAAAGGGTAGACCATATTCATGGTCTGAGGCCAGCCCTGGAAAAAAAAATGAGAGACCCTATCTGAAAAATAACCTAAGAGGAAAAAGGGCTGGAAGCATGACTCAAGTGGTAGAAGACCCTGAGTTCAAACCTCCCCACCCCCCAAAAAAAGAAAAAAAATGATTGGTTATAGATAAGTGCTTTGAACTAGCACCTAAATTTGGCTAGGAAACAAGTTTTGCGGTAGTGTGGTTTTGTAGAAAAAGCACTAAATGTGGAAATTGGAAGATGAGGTATAAGAATTTGGTCCTGCCAGTTGAGCAAGTGACTAAACCTCAATTTGTCTCATACTGGTGGATACAAATTCATACTCTGTTCTCAAATTTATTAAGGCAAATTTATTAAGGAGATGTCTATGAAATCTTCAAAAGTCATGAATTGCCAGGTGCTGGTGGCTCATACCTGTAATCCTAGCTACTTTGCAGACTGAGACTGGGAGGCTCTCAGCTCGAGGCCAACCTGGGCAAATGAGTTCAAGAGACCTCATTTCTAAAATAACCAGAGCAGAATGGACTGAAGGTGTGGCTCAAGTGATAGAGTACCTGCTTTGCAAGCAAGAAACACAGACTTCAAATCCAAGTCCCAGCAAAAACAAAAAGATGTGCAAGGAACTACATAGTTACCTGACTATAGTTTTATATTATTTTCCTCTTGGATATTTTATTATTTTGTCATAGATTTAATATTAGAAACAATACATGATAATACTTAGCACTACTGATAAGGCTTCTGGTGGTTCTTTTGTATTACAGACAGACAAATGTTGTTAGTTGCTTAAGTAAGTAAATACAAATGTTGTTTATTTCAATAAACACAAATGTTGCCATGCATACCAAGGAGGAGGCACTAAGTTAAGTGCTAGGTTATAGAAACAGGATGACTTGCTGCTTGCCTATGAATGTGCTGGAGTTTGAGAGGCATGTTAATTTAATTTGAGTTCTAAATAGTTATAAGGAATATATTGGGGAAGGATAACCTAAGAAATTTTAAGTCCCCCTGGTCCTGTGGCATCTGAAGTGGACCGTGTAGGATTAGAAAAAGGACCAAGATAGATGGAGGGGCTGGCAGGGTGGCTCAGTGGTAGAGCAGCTTAGCATGTATGGGACCCTGGGTTCGATTCCCAGTACCAAAAAAAAAAAAAAAAGATAGACTGAGATAGCAGGAAAAGGCATCTGAGACCAAAGGCACAACTTGAGCAAAGACCCAGAGGCACAAAAGGTGCTTAATATTTTCATAGACTAGTGACTGGAACACAGGTGCATGGAAGGAAGCAAGAGAGAGGCAGTTGCACACTCATTCTTAGAGAGAAGACTATACTAAAGTGTTTAGATTTGGCAGGAGGTAGGGAGCCATTACAGACTTTTAAGGGGGCATATTCAAATGATTGACCACCTAGTGCTAATGATTGCTTCTTTTGAAGAAGAGTCAGATAGCACAGTGGTTAAAAAAAATGTAGGGTCAAAGTATTTAAGGCTAAAGTATGTCTGCAGCTTTCAAACAATTCCAAAAAATAAATCCCTATGTGTATGGAGTGTGTAAAAAAGCAGATGTAGTAAAACAATAATTGTCAGATCATTAAGTTGTTTACATAAGTGAATTGTGAGTATACGGGTGTTTCATGTATTGTTCTTTCATCTTTTCTGAAGATTTTTAAGAAGCTTCAGATAAGCAGTCAGGAGATAGAGTATGTTTAAATCAGACAGTTTGTGTTGAAATCATAGTTTCACTGCTTGTAAACAGTATGAGTACTGGAAAATTCCAAATTACGTAGTCACACCTATTCCAGCCTAGTTTAGATTTTTCCATGTAAGTGGGGAGCCTTATTTTCGCATTTGACTTTTTCACATTGGTATTGAGTTAATGTGAAAAAGACTTAAGGTTTTCCACAAGCTTTAGATCTATAGTTATTTTAGGGTTGACTATAGTTTTCCTGTAATATCAGAAATACACTAGTACAGAGACTAGCATAGATGTCTATTAGAAAAGAATGGTTAGGGTTCAGGATATTTAGGTTGTAGCTCCAGCTCTGCCTTATATTAAATTATTTCACTATTCTGAAGCTTTATTCCTTATCTACACAGTATGAGGATTGTATTGCATGAAATCTGTCAAGCTCTAAAGTCCTATGATCCAGAACCAGCTTGATTTTTTTTCCTATTACTACATGTGGTTTTAGATTGTGTTATGTGTTAAAAGCAGTTACTTAGAAACATGTAGAAACATGCATAACACTCAAAGTTCACAGTAGGGTGTCAAGATCTCCTATTTGTTTGTTTACTTATTTATTTAGACTCAGGGTCTCTTTGTAGCCCAGCCTGGACTTGAACTGGTGCTCCTCCTGCCTCAGCCTCCCATGTGCTGGGATTACAAGTGTTTGCCACCATGCCTGGCTTCAAGCTCAGTTTAAATGGCCTGCGTTTTTAGGAAACCCCATGTCTGAATGGCGTTGCATCATCTCATGTGTCCACTGAAGCTATCATGTTTTAAAACTAAATGCAACTTAGAAACATATAACAGAAGCAAAATGCTGGCTCAGAGACTCCCAAAGTAACTGTATTTGCTTCAAGACTTATGCGATACATTTGTCACTACAGTCAAGAGAGTGAACATACCCATGACTCTCCAACAAGAGAGTGAACATACCCATGACTCTCCAACTCTTCTCATGCTCCTTTGTAGTTTCTCCTTTAGCAATCTCCTCTCCTCTTTATGTCCTGTCTTGAAAGAGCCACTGATTTGCTTTCTGTCACTATAGGTTAGTTGGCAGTTTCTAGAGTTTTATATACCTGGAATCATACAGTATGTACTCTTTTTTTTTTGGTCTGGTTTT